AAATCTCACGATGGGTTGGAGGTACTGGTAACGAGCGTTTGTCTTTTCAGACGTTTTTTGTAGTATCGAAATGTATCCAACATATCTTTGTAATGTAGGTTACTGATTAGTGTGGGGAGGCCCCCCCCCCCCTCCGCCCCTAAACAAATTTGGGTTACAGAATAGTGTGGAAAAAACAAATTACCGGGTACAGAATAGTGTAAAATCAAAAAAAATGGATAGATTTAAATTGATTTCAATTTACTTTCAATTGATTTCAATTTATTTTGAATTGATTTCAATTTACTGTCAATTGATTTCAATTTACTTTCAATTGATTTCAATTTATTTTGAATTGATTTCAATTTATTTTGAATTGATTTCAATTTACTTTCAATTGATTTCAATTTACTTTCAATTGATTTCAATTTATTTTGAATTGATTTCAATTTAATTAATTACTTTCAATTGATTTCAATTTATTTTGAATTGATTTCAATTTACTTTCAATTGATTTCAATTTATTTTGAATTGATTTCAATTTATTTTGAATTGATTTCAATTTACTTTCAATTGATTTCAATTTATTTTGAATTGATTTCAATTTATTTTGAATTGATTTCAATTTATTTTGAATTGATTTCAATTTATTTTGAATTGATTTCAATTTATTTTGAATTGATTTCAATTTATTTTGAATTGATTTCAATTTACTTTGAATTGATTTCAATTTATTTTGAATTGATTTCAATTTACTTTCAATTGATTTCAATTTACTTTCAATTGATTTCAATTTACTTTCAATTGATTTACAATTAACTTGGAATTAGAGTGTTTAGACTATGTTAAACTTCATTGAAGTCAAGTTACTTTCAATTCATTTCAAGTTACTTTCAATTGATTTCAATTTACTTGCAATTGATTTCAATTTACTTTCAAGTAAAAGAAAAAAACAATCACCTCAGGAAGCAGCTGGACACAATAGTGTACCCCCAAACAAACCAGACTATTGTGTATCAGGGTTGCTCATGGACTACCCCCTTGAAAAATTGTTTGAGTGATGTTTTTTAATTGGGTTTTAATAAGGCATCATATATTTTGGTAAATTGAGCATCTCTGAGAATTCTAAATAAAAGAAACTAATTGAGAAAATAAAAGAAACAAACTTTAGCAAAGGAAAATGTAAAGGAAATGTAAAAAAACAAAATCACCTCAGGAAGCAGCTGGACACAATAGTGTACCCTCAAACAAACCATACTATTGTGTATCATGATCATATTCATTTCAAGTTACTTTCAATTGATTTCAATTTACTTGCAATTGATTTCAATTTACTTTCAAGTAAAAGAAAAAACAATCACCTCAGGAAGCAGCTGGACACAATAGTGTACCCCCAAACAAACCATACTATTGTGTATCATGATCATTCATGTTTTTTTTGCTTGGCTCAAACTAATCCTTTGGAAAGCCTTTGGTTTTGATTCCAAGACAAATGAAGCTAAGTAAAAGGAAACAAACTTTAGCAAAGGAAAAGGAAATGGTTGAAAAAAAACATAACCTCAGGAAGCAGCTGGACACAATAGTGTACCCTCAAACAAACCAGACTATTGTGTATCAGGGTTGCTCATGGACTACCCCCTTGAAAAATTGTTTGAGTGATGTTTTTTAATTGGGTTTTAATAAGGCATCATATAGTTTGGTAAATTGAGCATTTCTGAGAATTCTAAATAAAAGAAACTAATTGAGAAAATAAAAAAAACTTTAGCAAAGGAAAATGTAAAGGGAATGTAAAAAAAAAACAAAATCACCCCAGGAAGCAGCTGGACACAATAGTGTACCCTCAAACAAACCATACTATTGTGTATCATGATCATTCATGTTTTTTTTTGGTTGGCTGAAACTAATCCTTTGGAAAGCCTTTGGTTTTGATTCCAAGAAAAATGAAGCTAACTAAAAGGAAACAAATTTTAGCAAAGGAAAATGTAAAGGTAATGTTAAAAAACAAAATCACCTCAGGAAGCAGCTGGACACAATAGTGTACCCTCAAACAAACCATACTATTGTGTATCATGATCATTCATGTTTTTTTTGCTTGGCTGAAACTAATCCTTTGGAAAGCCTTTGGTTTTGATTCCAAGAAAAATGAAGCTAAGTAAAAGGAAACAAACTTTAGCAAAGGAAAAGGAAAAGGAAATGGTTGAAAAAAAAACATAACCTCAGGAAGCAGCTGGACACAATAGTGTACCCCCAAACAAACCAGACTATTGTGTATCATGATCATTCATGTTTTTTTTGCTTGGCTGAAACTAATCCTTTGGAAAGCCTTTGGTTTTGATTCCAAGAAAAATGAAGCTAAGTAAAAGGAAACAAACTTTAGCAAAGGAAAAGGAAAAGGAAATGGTTGAAAAAAAACATAACCTCAGGAAGCAGCTGGACACAATAGTGTACCCTCAAACAAACCACACTATTCTGTATCAGGGTTGTTCATGGACTACCCCCTTGAAAAATTGTTTGAGTGATGTTTTTTAATTGGGTTTTAATAAGGCATCATATATTTTGGGAAATTGAGCATTTCTGAGAATTCTAAATAAAAAAAATAATTGAGAAAATAAAAAAAGCTTTAGCAAAGGAAAATGTAAAGGGAATGGAAATCCCATAGAAAGATCATAGAAATAACATGGAAATCCCATAGGAATCTCACAGAAACCCCATAGAAAGATCATAGAAATAACATGGAAATCCCATAAGAATCTCACAGGAATCCCATAGAAAGATCATAGATGGAAATTCCATAAGAATCTCACAGAAATCCCATAGAAAGATCATAGAAATAACATGGAAATCCCATAGGAATCTCACAGAAATCTCATAGAAAGATCATAGAAATAACATGGAAATCCCATAAGAATCTCACAGAAATCTCATAGAAAGATCATAGAAATAACATGGAAATCCCATAGGAATCTCACAGAAATCCCATAGAAAGACCATAGAAATAACATGGAAATCCCATAGGAATCTCACAGAAATCCCATAGAAAGATCATAGAAATAACATGGAAACCCCATAAGAATCTCACAGAAATCCCATAGAAAGATCATAGAAATAGCATGGAAATCCCATAAGAATCTCACAGAAATCCCATGGAAAGATCATAGAAATAACATGGAAATCCCATAGGAATCTCACAGAAATCCCATAGAAAGATCATAGAAATAACATGGAAATCCCATAAGAATCTCACAGAAATCCCATAGAAAGATCATAGAAATAACATGGAAATCCTATAAGAATCTCACAGAAATCCCATAGAAAGATCATAGAAATAACATGGAAATCCCATAGGAATCTCACAGAAATCCCATAGAAAGACCATAGAAATAACATGGAAATCCCATAAGAATCTCACAGAAATCCCATAGAAAGATCATAGAAATAACATGGAAATCCCATAAGAATCTCACAGAAATCCCATAGAAAGATCATAGAAATAACATGGAAATCCCATAGGAATCTCACAGAAATCCCATAGAAAGATCATAGAAACATCATGGAAATACCTTGGAAAACCCACAGGAATCCAATAGAAATTCCATAGGAAAGATCATAGAAATACCATAAAAATCCCATAGGAATCCAATGGAAATCCCATAAGAATACCATAGAACTCCCATAGCACCCCTTCAGAAATCCCATAGAAATCCTCCAGAAATATCATAGAAACATCATGGAGACCTGATAGGAATTCCATAGAAATCCAATAGTAATACCATAGAAATACCATAAAAGAAAAAAACTTTAGCAAAGGAAAAGGAAAAGGAAATGGTTGAAAAAAAACATAACCTCAGGAAGCAGCTGGACACAATAGTGTACCCTCCAAACAAACCACACTATTCTGTATCAGGGTTGCTCATGGACTACCACCTTGAAAAATTGTTTGAGTGATGTTTTTTGATTGAGTTTTAATAAGGCATCATATATTTTGGGAAACTGGGCATTTCTGAGAATTTCAAATGAAAGAAACTAAGAAAGTAATTAAGCAATTAAAAGAAAAAAGACTTTAGCAAAGGAAAAGGTAAAGGAAAGGATTGAAAAAATCAAAAAATCATGGCCTCAGGAAAGCAGCTGGACACAATAGTGTACCCTCCAAACAAACCACACTATTCTGTATCAGGGTTGCTCTTGGACTACCCCCTTGAAAAATTGTTTGAGTGATGTTTTTTAATTGGGTTTTAATAAGGCATCATATATTTTGGGAAACTGGTCATTTCTGAGAATTTCAAATGAAAGAAACTAAGAAAGAAATTAATTGAAAGGAAAACACTTTAGCTAGCAAAAGAAAAGGTAAAGGAAATGATTGAAAAAAAATCAAAAAATCATGACCTCAGGAAAGCAGCTGGACACAATAGTGTACCCTCCAAACAAACCACACTATTCTGTATCAGGGTTGCTCATGGACTACCCCCTTGAAAAATTGTTTGAGTGATGTTTTTTAATTGGGTTTTAATAAGGCATCATATATTTTGGGAAACTGATCATTTCTGAGAATTTCAAATGAAAGAAACTAAGAAAGGAATTAATTGAAAGGAAAACACTTTAGCTAGCAAAAGAAAAGGTAAAGGAAATGATTGAAAAAAATCAAAAAAAAACATGACCTCAGGAAAGCAGCTGGACACAATAGTGTACCCTCCAAACAAACCACACTATTGTGTATCAGGGTTGCTCATGGACTACCTCCTTGAAAAATTGTTTGAGTGATGTTTTTTAATTGGGTTTTAATAAGGCATCATATATTTTGGGAAACTGGTCATTCTGAGAATTTCAAATGAAAGAAACTAAGAAAGAAATTAATTGAAAGGAAACCACTTTAGCTAGCAAAGGAAAAGGTAAAGGAAATGATTGAAACAATCAAAAAAATCATGACCTCAGGAAAGCAGCTGGACACAATAGTGTACCCTCCAAACAAACCACACTATTCTGTATCAGGGTTGCTCATGGACTACTCCCTTGAAAAATTGTTT